CTCATCTTAACCTCACTGCAATCCTGTCATGTCGGTGCTGTTACTGTTCCCATTTTACAGATGAGGAAGCTGAGGCTGAGAAAAGTTAAATGATTGGCTCAGAGTCACCCAACTAGTAAGTGTAAAATCAGGATAATGATAGCAGCTACCTCACAGTATGGCTGTGAGATAATGAGATAACATGTATGGAACACACTTTGTAAACCTTAAAATGCCATATCTAGCTGTTATTATGGAAAGACCTTAGTTCAATCCACTCATTTTACAGAAGAAACGAGGTGAAATGACTTGCTTAAGGTTACTCTGATCACAAGCCTGTCAGCTAGATTCTGGAGGTGTCCCTGTTTTACTGATGAGGAGACAGAGACTCAGAGACATTAACATTGCCTAACACCTAATTTGATTAGCCCAACCTGGTGATTCTGACAAATGAAAGCCAGATTCTGAGTTCGATGTCTTTCCACTATGTCTTGATTGGCATGAGGATTCTCTGCTCAGAAGTCTTCTTTGGTTCCCAGTCCCCTTTGTCATTAGGTCCCAATTCCTTGTTATGAATTTCAACATACTTTGACATGCTTCCTTCCCATTCAACAGCCCTCCCCCCAAGTTCCAGCATTCCCCCAAGCTGATTGCTGAACTTTCCACCATTAAATCTAAAAGGCAGATCAGCACCACCTGAGCTTGGGTGAAGATTTGGTCCAGATCTCCTTGGACCCAGAGCATCCTTGGCCTGACTCAGCACATAGCTTCAAACTCCATTTTTGCCTGGAAGAAAAGGCAGCTCAGGGAGTCTCCACCTTACCACTCTCCTTCATTTCTCCTTCTCTGTGTAAATGGACTTGAACTTGTTTCATTTGGACCTGCCAACAAGTCTGGGTAACCCACCTTTCATCTTGCTGAACAGAGATGCAGGCTGAAAGCAAGGTGGGAATTGCTTTATAGAGAAAGACAGGAGGAGGGGGAAGAGGGGAGGAAAGGGATGGAGGACAAAGTCTGAAGATGTAGGCTGTTGTCCATAAAACAGTAATGCCTCAGGGGCTCATGTGGTTCACATTGTCCTGGGAGTATATGTAGAGAACTAGTGAAGACCTCAGAAGCCATCTAATCCAGCCCCCTGATTTTACAGAGAAGGAAACTGAGGCCCAGGGAGGTTAAGTAGCTTAAATCATAGATTTAGAATGAAAGGAACCTTAGAGGTCATGGAATAATAGAATCATAAATCTATGGAAGGAAGGAAGGAAGGAAAGAGGGAGGGAGGGAGGAAGGACACAAGGGAAGAAGTAAGGAAGAAAGGAAGGAAAGATGAATGGAAGGGAGAAAAGATGAGAGGGAGAGAGAAAGGAAGGATGAAAGGGAGGAAAGAAGAAAGGGAGAGAGGAAAGAAGTAAGAGAGGAAGGAAGTATGTAAGGAAGAAAAGATGAAAGGGAGAGAGAAAGGAAGGAAGGATAAAAGGGAGAAAAGAAGAAAGGGAGAGAGGAAGTAAGGAAGGAAGGGAGAGAGGGAAGGAGGAAGAATACATTTGTTAAGTGCTTATTATATTATATTATATATTATTGTATATATTTTATTACATTATATATAACTATTATATACTATATTGCCAGATGCCTTCTCAATACTGGGGATACAAATACAAGCAGAAATAAAGACAGTCCCCTCAAGGAGGTTAGGGGTAAAACAACACACAAAAGAAGGCCAAAAAGCAGGGCAAGGCAGAGGCAGAGCAGTGAAGCAGGAAGCCCACCAGGGGCATGGTTTTAAGGTCAGGAGCAGAGACAGGGGTGGGAGGAATGAAGGTCTGGGCCCCTCCATCAAATGGAGGTCCTAATAGGAACTCACCAGTGGGAGAAAGGGTCAGGGGCTGGCTGAGGGATCCTCTAGGGTAAGAGAGCCATGTGGGTAGTTGAATGTTCTAGGGAGAAGAGGTCCCAGGTGCTAAGAGAAGTTCCGTTATGAGACTAGCTGCCAAACCAAAGGCTATTCTGTGCCTCAGTTTCCTCATCTATAAAAGGTGAGTAAAAATTCAAATGGGATCATAGATTTAGACCCAAAGGGACAAGATTTAGGGCTAGTCCACATCAACTATGGAATTTGAACCTAATATTCTCTTACCTCATGAGGCTGTTGTGAAGATTTAATGAGAGTGTGTAGGTAAATTGTTAGCAAATCATCAATCCCTAGATAAATATTGTTATTATTACCGAAGGAGTGACTCTAATGTTAGTGCTGAGAGAAGCCTGGAGAGGCAACAAGCTACAGCAGAAAGAGTTTGAGATTTGGAGTCAGAGGATCTGAGTTCAGATTCAGCTCTGCGACTTACTACCTGTGTGACTTTCAGCAAATCCCTTAACCTCTCTGGTCCTCAATTTCCTCATCTGCAAAATGGGGAGGTTGGCCTAGATAACCTCTAAGGTGCCCTCCAGCTTGAAATTCATGATTTAGAGTGTACATACATGTATACATATATGTATTCATATGTACTCTATACATGTACATGCTCTATATGTATACATATATGTATTATATGTAAAACTCTTTGTTTTATGGAGGAAGAAACTGAAGGCCAAAGAGAAATAACCTGCCTATGATCACCGGTTAGTGGCAGAGGAGGGACAAAATTCAGTGCCCTTTTCACCTGTTCCGTCGCCTCAGTTGTATCTGACTCTTTGTGACCCTATTTGGGATTTTCTTGGCAAAGGTACTGGAGTGGTTTGCCATTTCCTTCTCCAGTTCATTTTACAGATGAGGACACTGAGGCCAATGGGATGAAGTGACTTGCCCAGGGTCACACAGCTAGTAAATGTCTGAGCCTGGATTTGAACTCAGGTCTTCCTGATTCTAGACCCAGCATTCTATTCACTAAGCCATCTAGTGGCTCTGCTCTTCCCACTACCCATTTTAAAAGGATTTCCTCCTCTTGGGAGTCCTTTAAATTGCCAACTTCCCTTGCACTTAGGCGAGAATTTGGATTTGATTTATGGACAGCAGCTTAAGAAAACACATTCTTTGAGTGGCCATCAGTTAGGGAATGGCTTGAACAAACTGTCACATATGAATTGTAATGGAGTATTATTGTGCTATAAGGAATGACAATTACAAGGAATTCAGATGCACATAGGAAGGTTTATGTGAATCAAGTCAAAACAAAGTAAGTAGAACTAAAAGTATAATATAATTACTTTTTTTTTTTTGGTCTTGTTGTGTGGTTTCATTGGGATAGGGAATTTCTGCCGGGAACACTCCCTCTACCAATACAAGTTATTATCTGCTCTGTAGCTTATAGTCTTTAAAAAATCTTCAATAAAAAAAGTATTTGTTTTCTCTCCTTCCCATTTCTCTTCCTCCCCACCCCAACAATGGAAAATAAAGAAAAACAAAATCCTTGTAACAAACATGCAGTTGAAACAAATCCAATTCCCCCACTGATCGTGTCCAAAACTATATGCTCCATTGTGTATCTTGAGTCCATCATCTCCGTCAGGAGGTGGATGGGGTGCTGCATCAGCACTCTTCTGAAAATCTGCTCAGGAATTGCATCGATCAGAATTCTCAAGTCTTCCAAAGTGTAGTCTCGGTTGTATGGAGCACTGGTAGGAGAAATACCTTACCTAGAGTCACACAGCCCCGATTCTCAGAAGTGGGAGTTGAACTCTAATCTGCCCGACTCGAGGCTGGCCCTCTATCTGTTAGACCATTCCGCCTCTCAGTAAGTACAGTGATGTGAATGGGGGAAAAATTACTGAAAGGAAACCGAGCTCTGGGAAATTAAAAAGCCAATAATGGTCCTAGAGAACAAACAGTGAGCTCTATCTCCCTCCCTCTTCTCTTCAGAGAGATGGGAGAATTACTAGGACAGACTTGCCCACATTCTATTCTTTGTCAGAAATAATCAGATAAGGCTCTTTTCCTTTATTATTTTTCTTTGTTTAAACCAAGAGTTCAACTTGAAAGGGAAGGGGGCCAGGAATTTTCAGTATAATTCCATTAGGTGTTACAGCAGAGTACAGATTTTTCCAGTCCGTAGTCCATCCTTTCTGCTCCCTCCTCCTTGTAGGATAGGGATAGAGCTGAATCCTACACAAGTCTTCTGCTCCTGGTACTGATTGAGTATAATCTCTTATTCAGCAATTGCCCTCTCTTTTCTAACCTACTTATCTCTGGAGATTTAATCAACCTCAACTTGTTTCAACAATTAGCTCACTTTATAACCTAGGGAAAATATTATGGTCCTTGGGTCCATGTGCTCCCCTTCTCTGGTATTTTATAGAGTTTTTATCAGATGAAATGTTAATGATACAATCACAATAACTCAGAGCCCCCAGTTAGAAAAAATTGAGACATAGGTTTGGTTCTCTGTACTAATATAAATTTTTGCGTATCTCCAGCTAATCCATGGCTTCTCTATATTAGAAGCAGGATCAGGATACAGAAAATGTTTACATAAAAGAAACTATATATATTATATATATGTATATATAAAACCTATATAAAATTACTTACCATCTTAGGGAGGATAGAGGGAAGGGAGAAAGAGAAAAAAATTGGAATTAAAAATTTTATTTAAAAAAATGAATGTTAAAAATTATTTTTACATGTAATTGGAAAAAATAAAATGCTATTTAAAAGAAAAAATAAGCAAGCAGACTATTTTATGGTTACTGAATAGTATATCTGATACTTCTCTGTGACCTTGGAAAAAAATCACTTAATTTCTCTGAACTTCAGCGTCTATCTGTAAAATATAAGGGTTTGGACCAGACTGGATGGTTTTTAAGGTCCTTCCAAGCTCTAAATTTCTGATTCTAAGTATGAGATTCCAGGCTCAATCAAATCAGTATTTATTAAGTGCCTACTATATGCCAGACACTGTATTAAGTGCTGGACTCAGAGCAAGGATGCCTAACTTCATTGTACCTCAGCTGCCTCAAAGGGACAAGATGTACCTGTGTATGCACTTGGTCATGCTCAAGGCCACCTCACCCTCTCTCTGTTTCCACAGTTTGACATGCAAAGGATAACGTTGGAAGAGCTAAAGCATATCCTGTACCATGCATTCCGGGATCATCTCACAATGAAAGACATTGAAAACATTATTATCAATGAAGAGGAGAGCCTGAATGAGAACTCAGGAAACTGCCAGACAGAGTTTGAAGGAGGTAGGTCCCCTTGGCCAGCCCACTGCAAACCCACCTCCACCCAATGCAGAATTTAGGCAGGCAGATACTTGCTGCCCTGACTTTGGTATATGAAGAATGTCTGTAGTCTCCCCTCACCCCAGGAAATTTTTTTTTTACTGTAGCCACAAGGTAGGAAACTGAGATTATTTAAGATATCTGCCTTTCAGAAGTATGGGGCCCATTCCAGTTCCTGCCTTTTCAATTCCCCATTTATGACGCATAACTTGTGTGCAAGGAGGCACCAGGGTTACAAAGATACAAACCAAACAGTTCCTGCCCTTATGGAGTTTATATTTTCCTGGCAGGATACAACAGGTATACAGATAAGAAGGGAGGGGAAAAAAACAAAGGAGAGATCCAGGCAAAGTGCTCCAGGAACGATCAGTTAGTCAATCAACAAGGATTTCTTAAATTCCTGCTATGTGCCAGGCATTGTTCTGGGTGAAGGCAATAGAGATACATAGACAGAAATAATGGCAGGGACAAGAAGTAACTTCCCACAGCTGGTGCTTGAGAGGATCATTGAAGAAAGTTAAGGATTGGGAGAGGAAGAAAGGAGAAGGGAGATAGAAAGACTTTTGGGAATGCATAAAAGCAGGCAGGCATTTAGCAACTGACTTTCTGACTGTCTCCCTCAATGCTGAACTCATGGAATAATTAGGAGACCAGCTTAGCTGAAAGGATTCAATTCAATTCAATTCAATATACATTTATTAAGTGTCTACTATGTAGCAAGCACTGTGCCAAGCACTGAAGATACAGAAAGAGGCAAAAGGCAGTCCCTGCCTTCAAGGAGCTTACAAACTAATCAATCAAACAAACAACCAGGCAATCAAAAAAGCATTTATTGCGCACCTACAATGTGCCAAGTGATACATTAGAAGCTAGGCTACAAAGACAAAAGTGACAAAGTTCCTGCTTTCGGAGAACTTATATTTTATAATCTTTTGTACCCCCTGGACTCAGCATAGTATAGTGCCCTGCAACAAAATAACCAATCAATAAGCATTTGTTGATTGCATACTGTATGCTAGGCACCATGCTTGGTCTTGAGGAAGAGGAAGAGAAAGATGGGTTAGGGGAAGACAGTGGAGGCCATCCCTTAAATGTCAGGCTAAGAAAAATTTATTTTGTCCTGGAAGCAATGGGAAACCACTGAAGTTTTTTGAGCAGGGGTGTGACGTGGAAGGGCCTGTACTTTCAGAAGACTGCTTTGGTGGCCATGTGGAGGATGAGACTGGAGGGGAGATAGGATGGATGTAGGGAGACCAATTAGAAGATTGTTAAGACTAGGTGAGAGGCGATGAGGACCGGAGTTGGAGGGTGGGGGGCTGTGAGAGGTGAGGGGACAGATGCAAGAGCTGATAGAGTCAACTAAACCTGACTAATGATTTGGGGGCAGGTTGGGGGGAGGAGAAAAGATAGGGATTGTTTAGGTGGTGAACTTGGGCAAAGTGCCACCCTTGCAAAAATCGGGAACTTTGGAGGTGGTTTGGAGAAAAGCATGCTCTTTTGGACGTGTTATTTGAGATGCTAGCAGAAAATCAAGGGGACAGTGCTCTCAAAACCTCTGCTGATCCCTTCCTGTAGGGAATGCCCTCTTCCTGCAACTCACCTAGTCTGTGCGGCCCCATATTCAGCAGCAGGACTTGCCAAGCTTTAGAAATACAAGAGCCTGTTTTCTCTTAAGCACTATGCTTGCAATTCCAGTAGTAACCACTAGGTGAAAGATGGGGGCCAATGGTATCCAGTCAATGATTAAGATTTTCCCCAGCCTCCCCCAGGTCTCTTTTTCATCTGTATAAAAATGTCTTTCTCTTCTGAGGTTTAATAATACCAAGCACCTGCATATGCTTTGTTAGGGCTTGTTCAAAAGATTCCAGAATCACACATGGACTCAACTGTGACTTAGGGCAGGTCCCTTCAGATCTCTGTGCCTCAATTTCCTTATCTGTAAGAATGAAGAAGAAGTTGGACTATGATCTTTCCCTCTCTAAATCTATAATAATTTAACAGTATCCTCAAAATTTCCTAGGGGATTAAATAAAATCATTTTGTAAAGTGCTTTGTAAATCTGTAAATGCTATATAAATTTGAGATAATATTTAGGATACTACGTATTTCCACATGCCACTTTTTCCACCTACATCAGTTTGTTTGTTTGTTTTCAATCAAGAGGGTTTCCTTGGCAACCAAGTCACTCACTTCTTCCTACTTTGAACCTCAAGGCTCCTATAAAAGTCCTTGTCACCAAGGTCATCCTGCCCATCACCAACATGACAAAATACTGAGTTCTTTTTCAACCTGCTTAAAGTTTGCTTCTTAAATGAATTTAATGCTCTCTTCTTCTAGCCATTTGGAAACATTTTTGAACGAAGCCAAATATTACATTTTTAAAAGGAATTCTCCAATGATTTCTTAATTGTTATAATTGATGCCAAAGTTACTCTTGGTGACCACTTCATGGTGGCAGCATCCAGAGTGGACCAAAGCCCAAAACAGGAGCAACTTTATAGGCAGCTAGCTATGAGGAAGGAGAGACTGCTCATGGTGGAAGCAGGAGACCGGGGTTGGGCATGACCTTGGGCAGATAGCAGCATAATCTCTCTTGGCCTCAGTTTCCTCATCTGTAAAATGAAAAGGTTGGACTAGATGGTTTCTGAGGTCCCTTCCAGCTCTAGCTATGATCTCTTTCCCAAAAGTAGAATTCTCAGATAAGAAAAGACCAAGCAAACTCTAGATAGAATTAGCTCCAAGCGGAGCTATAGTGTGAGGAAAATTGAACAGAACTATTTGGGGTTCCCAATCCTAGCCCATAATCAGATGCCAAAAAATCAAATAAACAAAAAAAAATGTGGGGATGGTTCAATGAAAGGCCTGCAGGGAAGAGGATAAGTGAATACAACCTTTAGTCCAGAGAAACTTCACTCACTGATTCTGATTAATTGAGGGAAATGCCAGGGTGGGCTAAAGATAAGTCTGAATTATAGGCTATTAAAAATGTACTTTTATTGTGTGCGAGGTACATATTGTGCCACAAAATGATGGTTAACAAACTGCTTCTACCTTGAGGTCCTGCTGGTCCTGCTTTAATGAATATGCTAAACATTATTTTTTTGGGGAAAAAATCATATTCATTAGCTGCAAACAGGGCTGCCAAGCTACTTGGAAACAGTTTGTTCTTCTTAAGTAGATTAAACATGCCCCCTGCCATCTTGTCCACACAATGACTTTGCCTCGCAAATAAAGAGTGACGTAGGGAAGAGAACGCTGGAGGATGAGTCAGATCCCAGTTCCAACCCTGCTTCTTACTAGCTGCGTGACACTGTGCGTCATCCCTCCCTCTCTGGCCCCGAGTTGCCTCTGTACATTGAAATGGTTGGGTGACCAGATGGTTTCCAAGATCCCTTCCTGGTCTAACACAATCATCCTAAATTCTGAATGAATGATGTACTATCAATGGCTGGCAGCCAGAAGTTGCTGTTCCTTATACAAATCCTTATAAATTCCTGGGGATAATACACTTAATGTGATCACTGTGTATTTCAGTCATTTGCAACTCCTTAAAGGTAACCAGTGGACAGCTAGGTGGTGCGGTGGATAGGGCCTAGAGTCAGGAAGACTCATCTTCTGAATTCAAATCCAGCCTTAGACATTTATTAGCTGTGTGACCCTGGACAAGTTACTTAATCTTATTTGCCTCAGTTTCCTCATCTGTAAAATGAGCTAGAGAAGGACATGGCAAAGCACTCCGGTATCTTTGCTAAGAAAACCCCAAATGGGGACACAGAGAGTCTGAAATGACTGAACAAAACAGCCCTCAAAGAGCTTATATTACACTGGAGGGACAATATGTATATGGATAAATAAATACAAGATATACACACAATAAATATAAAATTCAGAGGCTGAATGGGGTACTGACTAGACAGAATACCCAGGAATCAAGAAGAATGGATTTTGAGGGATGCCTTTGACACATATTGGCTGCTTGACCTCGAACAAATTGTTTCACCTCTCTGGGCCCCAGGGAACTCTCTAAGAGCATGAGTTACAGAGCAGCTACTGAACTGTACAAGTAAAGGGAATTTCCTTACTAAAAGCTCCCTATATCAATGAAATCACAAATCAGCTACAAAATAAAATACGAAAATACAAAATCCAGCCGGAGGAAACTTGATTCCTTTGGGAGAATAGCAGGGCTTTTTGTTTGCTTGTTTGTTCTTCTGGCAAACCTACTTCTTAGTGTTCTGAGAGGGCTCTGGGTGCAGAATACTGAATATATGATCAAAGCTGATCAATGTGTCGGTTAGTTTTGAAAATTTGCTTTTTTTCTCTTTCTTTTAAAATGGTAATAACAGTAGTTAGCATTTATATAGCTTTTTACTACGTGCTAGGAACTGTGCTAAGGGCTTTAGGATTATCTCGTTTGTTCCTCACAACAATCCTGGCAGGTAGGTGCTATTATTATCCCTGTTGTACAGAAAAGGAAACTAAGGCAAATAGAGCTTGCCCAGGGTCACACAGCTAGTACGTATCTGAGGCTGGATCTGAACTCAGGTATTCCTAACTCCAGGCCCAGGGCTCTATCCACTGCACCACCTAGCTGCCTTTTAAAATCTTTGTTTCAAGAATGGACAGCTAGATGGGGTGGGGGAGGCATGTATTGAGAAATCAATGTGATACAAAAATTAAAGACATCAACAAAAATAGAATAAATTTTAAAGAATAATTATTAAAGAGGCAGCTATGTGGAGCACTGGCCCTCGAATCAGGAGGACCTGAGTTCAAATCCAGCCTCAGATACTTGACATTTAGTGGCTGTGTGACCCTGGGAAAGTCATTTAACCCCACTGCCTAGTCAAAAAAATTTTTAAAAAGAATAATAATTAAATGGTGGCCTGATCTGATCTTCCCAGTGAGAGAGTTCTCAACTCTTCTGCATGTCTTTAGCCAGCTCAAACCATCCCCCATTAAGC